GAAGAAGAACAGTTTGTTCTTCAGTGGCTTCAAGTATCAAACATTGAAGCCGCCATGTCTCTGTCCCTCATCTGGCGGGTCTTCTATGAGAAACTGGACAACCTCAGAGAAAAAGACAATGAAAGAATGAGGAGAAGATTCTCACGCTTCGCACGTGGAGAACCATCAAGAGGAAGGAATCTAGAGTGAATGCTACCAAAAGAGGGGGAAAGAGAGTAGAAAAATACTCTGGTCTAAATTATGTATTCATTAAGTATTTTATAAACTCTTCTTTTGGCATCATCACAAAAGGGGGAAATTGTTAGACCCTAGATTTTGATATAACGATTTTGATGATGCCATCCCCATCTTTTGTAGCATTCAAATGTTTGTATTTTACTCTCAAGTAGATTCATCTTTTGTAAAGTCTTGTTTAAAAGTGTCTTGTCCGAAATACTAATGAACAAAATAAAAATGACTGGAAAAGAAAATGCAATAAGGTAATATTCTTGTACCTTAAACGGATGCCTTACAAATCCAACCAGTTAAATTTATTTTGTTACATAAGAAGCACTAAAAGATTTTGAACAAACAAATTAATTAAACTGGAACACAAAAATGCAATAAGGTATTAATCTTTACCTTAATAGGATTTTCTATCCTACCAGTTTAATTAATGGTCTAAGTTCAAAATACTAGTTGGGGCAATCACAACCAAGTATGATCAGAAGTCAAAAGAAAAATGTAAGTATCAAATAAATAATACCGGAAAAGAAAAAAATGCAATAAGGTAAATTCTACCTTAAAAAGGATATTTAAATCCTACCGGTGTATATTTTTTCTTTGATTACGAACATTTTTATCAAAAGGCATATTGGTGTGAAAAATGTGTCAAAGAGAGAACAAATAAATGTAAAATTTCTAAGACTAATAAAATCATTACTGGACAGTAAAAATGCAATAAGGTAAATTTATTTACCTTTAATAGGATATTTAAATCCTACCAGTATAATTTTATTAGACTCAGAAATTGTTATGTTCGAACAAATTTACCATGGCGGGTAAAACAGAGCCAATAATTATCCAGCATGGAGAACCAACGTACAGCATGGGCGCACAGTCTGAAGCCTAAAGAGAAATCTACAGTGGCTAGGCGGGCAAAACAAAAAGATCCCATAAGCTCCGAAGAGAAAGATAAACAACAAGTTGTTTATCCTCTGCGATCAAGATTCAACGAACAAGATTAAATCATCTCAACCAACGGATGAGATTAATCTGCCGGAGATGCCTATAAATGAAGGCCGAAGCATGAGTTAAAGCGACAAGTTTTTGAGTTCAAAGCAGAGAGATTCCATAAGCATTCAAAGAATATCTAGCAACTCTGCTTTGACTCATGCTTCACTAAGCTCTTAGAATAGATCATCATTGTCATACTTTTAGAGCTTAGTTCATAGTTGGAGACTAGAATTTCCTTGTAATTCACAAGGTGTTGTAAAACACTTTAGGAGGACGGTTGTTCCCGGCCTGAGTGTGGTTAGATAGGTCAGGAGTACCTTTTGATCCCCACTGGATCAATTGAGAAAAACCTAAAGGATTGAGTAGCTTGGAGTGGTGTTGTAAGGATTGAGTAGCTTGGAGTGGTGTTGTACTCCTCGTGAAACACCTTCAATCTAGGCCAGAGTTGTCAAGGCTAGATTGGCACTAAGTGTATTGGGCTTAATACATTAGTGAAATCCATTTGAAATAGGATGGGACTGGATGTAGGAGGATTACACCACCTCTGAACCAGGATATACTGTGTGTTGATTTACTTTCAGTCAACAAAGCACACACTGAACACTTCTCACATAAAGATTGGAGTTTGCCAGCAGCATCCTAAGCAGTTGTCTTAATTGACTCAACTGCTTATCCTACTGCTTAATTACTCATTCTCTTTGAGATATAAGAAGCCTCACAATATCATCTTTAAAAGGTCTGCCTTAGTCAGAGTTCAGGAAATACTACTTACGGCATGGCAGTTGCCTCAACAGTCTCCTAAGGACTACTCAACTATTGAGCCCACTGCTTACACAAAAGTATTTCCTGTAAACATCTTCACACCACCAGACCTTTACATCTTTATCTCTAAGAAGTCTGTTCAAAATAATTTCTGTGATTCAGGGTGATAACCCAGCAGGTACCTCTACAGTTCCCTCACTATCACCCAACTGCCTAAGACCACTGCCTAAGTAAAACCCTCTACTTACTTGGCCCAAAGCACATCTTCAAAAAGCCCACATCATCCTGAGCAACACCATATAATCAAACCTTCCATACCTTCACCATTACTTCAGCAGGTGCCTCAGCAGTTCCCTGGTTTCCACCCAACTGCTGAGACAACTGCTCTCATTTAAGGTTGATTATCAATCCACCTCAGTACATCATTAGGAAGCTCTTCCCACTCCCAAAAAGATTCTGAATGAACCCTCATCATACTTCAAGTATTTGGTAAGCAGACGACTAAGCAGTTCCCTGCTTCCTAGCCAACTGCCTAGCCAACTGCTCGCCAATAAACAAAGACTTCATCCATCACAGAAAGCTGTTACACATTACCTAAAGGGTAAAGACTTCCGTTGTGCATCTATTAATCTCTCAAAAGATTATAGATCAAATCTTCTAGAGGGAAATATTTGAAAAGGTCGAAAAGATTTAAAAGTCTATTCACCCCCCCTCTAGACTTTTACCCTATCCGGGACCATCACTATCCAGTGAGGGCTCGACATATCAACACCTTCGCCTATTACATGGTAGTATAAATACTCGCATTTATTTAATTATAAAGGATTGACAAATTAAACTTGCACACTATAGTTTAAATTTCTCTTTGGCTCTTCTGTAATAACTCAGTGTAGAATAGGGGGTCAGGATTCGGCTCGGTAAGTCTGTAGTAGAACTTGACCCACTTCCCCCTCTACAGTAATAGTTAGATACAATTAGATCTTTTGAGTCAATATTTGTGAACAATGATTATTAATTATTAAAAAAATAGTTTCAACTTTAACATAAAAATATGCGGGAGTAACTTATTTGAGTAATTATTATAGAAATAATAGTTCAAAAAATAATAATGTCGGTAGAGTTGGGGTATTGGGTCCAATCCCAAATACCTTCAGGTGGCCCAACTGGCATGCGGGTCCAATTTCCGCACTAGATCCGCCGGTTGGTAATATTCTGATACTTGATGTTTTATCGGATATTGCTAGTTGTATGTGGGAGATCGAGCTCCACAAAGCAATCGTCGGGAGGCTAGAATTGACGGGAAACACATTTAGTGTACTAGATGTGGACGATTTTATGGTTGGGGGCTATCCACTGGGTCTTGACACATCATCATCTACACATATTACATCGTAGTATAAATACTAGCATTTATCTCATTATAAATGGTTGGCAAACTTGCACACTATAATCTAGACTTCTCTCTAGCTCTTCTGCAATAGGTCAGTGTAGAACAAGGGGTCAGGGTTCGGGGTCGGTAAATCCGTAATAGAACTTGGTCCGCTATATCTCTAATCCTTTCTTGCCAAGCCTTGAAGAACTCTTTGGATGAGTTATTGACATGTGGCAACATCTTTGTACGATAAAATGACATGTGGCAACACAAAAAGTGAAAAGTTATCCAACTTCCAAAACTCCACTATTATGTATTCCAATATTATATTATAATATGTAGCCTCCTCTAATGTCATGTGTACGTTATTTTAGTTATAAATACGTGATAAATTTGATTAAAAATATTATTGAATCGTTGTTATATTAAATTTTGATAATTATTAAAAAATATCTAGCAAAAGCACTTATTGTACAAAAATAAAGATACAATTAGATTTTTTGAGTAAATATTTGTGAACAATGATTATTAATTATTAAATATTTATTTTCAACTATAACATAAAAATATGCAGGAGTAACTTACTTGAATAATTATTACAGAAATAATAGTTCAAAAAAAGTTGGTAAATAGTAAGTATATTTGAAAATTATTTTGGTAGTGTTGTGGTATTGGCTCCAAGCACAAATACCCCTAGGTGGTCCAACTAGCACGCGGGCCCAATTTCCGCAAGAGATCCGTCGGTCGGTGATATTCCGATCTTGGTGTTTTCTCGGATAGTGGTGGTTGTATGTGAGAGAACTCCCCAAAGTAGTCGGCGGGAACGCTAGATTTGGCGGGAAACACATTTAGTGCACTAGATGCGAAGGATTTTATGGTTAGGGCTATCCAGTGAGGGCTCGAGACATCAACACCTTCGTCTATTACATTGTAGTATAAATACTTGCATTATTTCATTATAAAGGGTTGATAAATTAAACTTGCACACTATATTTTAGACTTCTCTTTGACTCTTATGTAATAACTCAGTGTAGAACAGGGGGTCGGGATTCGGCTCGGTAAGTCTGTAGTAGAACTTGACCCACTTCCCCCCTCATCCTTTCTTGCTATTGCTTTTGCCTGCATATTGCGTTCATAATTAGTAAAAGATCCCATGAATGCCCAAAGGATTGTGTTGGGTTTTGGACCGCGATGAGTTAACCTCAACAGATGGTAAAGAATCAATATTGAAGATAATGAAACTCAAATATAGATATTTGTATTTTGGATAACTCACAACGTGCATGTGCCAACCCACTTAACCTACAATCCGTGCAGGTTGACCCTCGAAACCGATGAGTTATGAGCTCATCGAGATAAGAAACGATAACTCCAACCTATCATGAAATGAGATGAAATAGGTTAGCAAACATTGATTCACAAATTTTCATACAATTTACGGTCCTATGATTTTAAAACAAACTTTACGCATATATTCTACCGTGCGGTGCACGGGTACACATACTAATTTATTTATATATCGAGTGGATATATAAATAAAGTCAATGGGGGACGATACATGCCCATTATACGTATGGAGGGTGCAGACCCTCCATAATTATCGAGACCGTCGGACCCGCCATAATGTGTCGGCACACAGGTAGCTACACGTACAGGCCGTGACATAAAATCACAATTAGTTCACTTCATTCCTTCAATAATGTAATCCCACCATCAAATTGCAATTTGCAAATGGATAGTTCTACTGACAAGCCTCCTTACACTCCTCTCTTTGAACAAATCCAGCCCGCTCGAGATCCGGCTGATTACAGGCCATCCTTGAAGATCATCACTTGTAGTCTCTTTTCCTCCCTCTGTGTACTATCTTCTGTCATTGTGATCTTCAGTCAATCACCCTTACCAAAATCTCAACAAGTCAGTAATGAAACTTTACAAAAACCTTCATCGTTGGAGTCCTCATCGATCGCCAGAGTCGCAGTCTCGTCTCCCGTGGAGGCGTCTGGGAATGGGGTCTCGTACCAATGGGCTGAACGGATGTTGACTTGGCAAAGAACAGCTTTCCATTTTCAACCTCAAAATGGCTGGATGAATGGTTTGGAGCATACTGATTTAATTGGCTCCACTTATTTTTAAATACATTTTGCTGATTTGCTGATTGAAGATTTGATTCGAGTTTTTTTGCTCTTTCATCTTAATCTCATGAATACTCTTCCGGACATCACCGGCTTATGATGGAATACGGCAGATCCAAATGGTATTGCGCTATGCAAACTCTTGCTTCATTCATATTCTGTTGTTAACTTGTTATTGACTTCTTATCAATCAGTGCTGCTCAAAAATTGCTTGCATAACACGAATGTCTTGGGGTTAACTTACTAGTGGGTGGTTCTGGGTGAGCACAAGTTTTCAGAAGGTTAACTCACTATTCATCTCTTTTCGAGGTGTTGGAAGTATTTTGGTGACAAGAAATTAGGTTTTAGAAGATTATACTCCGTACAAGTTTACTAACCTCCAAAAATCCATTTTTGGATAACCTACGAAAACTCAAGTCTGTAGTATTCTTGAATCATGGGCTTTGAAAGATTGAGTTTTTTTGTAAGGTTTTTTCACCTAGCTAACATCCATTCCAACAACTTTTTGTCTTTTTGTACATTCAACTAGGTTCACCTAGGTCCATCCAAGTTCTTACTAATTTGAGGTTGACCAAGTTACATAATTTCATTCAAACCAAACAGTATCTAAGTGGAAACGGACATATTCTGATATTATCATGAAAATTATATGAGATTCACTAGAACCTCAATAGGTATGGTCGTCCCTGTGCCAGTTCTAAGGACTGATCAGTCCCTGTTCCATGCTTATGGTTCTGGTCTCTAGCTCTCCTAAATTTCAAGTTCTGTAAAGAATTTTGAAAAAAATAAAAAGAAATAGAAATTGTTGAATTTTGAAATTGTTGAATGTCTTGGGGTTAACAGTTAACTTAATAGTGGGTGGTTCTGGGTGAAGACAAGTTTTCTGAAGGTTAACTCACTATTCATCTCTATTTGAGGTGTTGAAAGTATTTTGGTAGACAAGAAATTAGGTTTTAGAAGATTATACTTCATATAAGTTTACTAACCTCCAAAAGTCCATTTTTGGATAACCTACGAAAACTCAAGTCTGTAGTATTCTTGAATCATGGGCTTTGAAAGATTGACTTTTTTTGGTAAGATGTTTTCACCTAGCTAATATCCATTCCAACAACTTTTTGTCTTTTTGTACATTCAACTAGGTTCACCTAGGTCCATCCAAGTTCTTACTAATTTGAGGTTGACCAAGTTACTTAATTTCATTCAAACCAAACAGAATCTAAGTGGAAACAGACATATTCTGATATTATCATGAAAGTTATATGAGATGCACTCATGCACTAGAACCTCAATAGGTATGGTCGTCCCTGTGCCAGTTCTAAGGACTGATCAGTCCCTGTTCCATGCTTATGGTTCTGGTCTCTAGCTCTCCTAAATTTCAAGTTCTGTAAAGAATTTTGAAAAAAAATAAAGGAAATAGAAATTGTTGAATTTTGACAGGTTACCACTAACCAGTTACAACCCTGGAGACTGCCCTGCATTTCTGCTTCCTTAAAAACCGTGTGTTTAGCCAAACCCATGTCCTCCCCTAATTCTCACTGGTAAAGAGATACTCCTATTTAATTTCATTTTTAGCCTCTAAACTGTGGTTGAAGTTTTTTGGATTCTTTGATATTTCTTTTATTATATGTATGATGTAGTTTTTTGGATTCTTTGATATTTCTTTTATTATATGTATGATGTATCTAATAATTTCACATTGGTCCATACTCCATATTATGAAAATTACATTTTATGGTATTAGATACAACAACTTACTTAGTATTACTTCATATCTGCCGTGTTTAAAACAAATTTATATGGAGGATGTCTGACAAGTTACAATGAATGTTCGTAAAATGGAACTATCAAAGTGGGAACTTTCACCTTTTATAATGACTTTTAAATGACCAATTGGCCATTTATGTATGGTGATCTTTTATCGAAAAGTAGAAGTTTGTACATTTAACTTTACAATGTGTCATGAAAATGTATAAGATTAAAAGGTTAAATGTACATGAAAATGTGTCACAGCTCCATTATACTACAAAGGATGGTACCACCTTTTCTATCAATACAACCCAAGTTCAGCTTTTTGGGTGGAAAATATCACATGGGGTCATGCAGTATCAAAAGACATGATTCATTGGCTCTATCTACCACAAGCAATGGTCCCTGATCAGCCCTATGACCTGCGTGGTGTTTGGACTGGCTCTGCCACAACCCTCCCTGATGGAAAAATCATGGTGGTCTACACTGGAAACACAGATGTGCAGGTTCAAAATCTTGCATATCCTGCCAATCTTTCTGATCCTCTCCTCCTTAAATGGACCAAGTATCCGGGTAACCCTGTGATTGTCCCCCCACCCAGAGTTGGTTTGTTGGAGTTTAGGGATCCAACCACGGCGTGGGCTGACTTAAAAAGTGGCCATTGGTTTCTTACTATAGGGTCTGAGCTTAATAAAACAGGTGTTGCGTTTGTTTATGAAACTTCCGATTTTAAAAGATATAAGCTTTTGGACGGGTTCTTGCATTCGGTTACCGGTACTGGTATGTGGGAGTGTGTGGACTTTTTTCCGATTTCAACCGGGAATGGATTTGGGTCAGACAATATGGTTAAAGATTCAGGTGTGAAGCATGTTTTGAAGGCAAGTTTGTATGACGAAACACATGATTATTATGCTATTGGGACGTATGACCCAATAAAAATAAAGTGGACACCTGATTATCCAGAATTGGATATAGGTAAGGGGTTGAGACTTGATTATGGGAAATGTTACGCAACAAAGACCTTTTATGACCAAAACAAGCATAGAAGAATTATATTTGCTTGGATTGGGGAGAGTGACTCCCGAGATGTTGACATTGTAAAGGGTTGGGCATCTATTCAGGTATATTAGCATTTTGGTTTTCTCAAATCTTACTTTTTGACATTGATACCCATACATGGATTTTCCCAAGAGTAAATGAACAACTTGGGTAAAATATAATCCTCATCGGTATGTGATGTTGGTGCCAGTTAGTAATATTTAAACACTCGTACTTACAGAAGAGTTAACACAAACACACAATTAACTCGTACTTGAGAGGTACAAAAAAGTTCACACGATTAGTGTTCAAAATTCAATGATTCAAGTGCTTACATGGCAACCTTGACCACAATTAAGAGAGTTTTGATTAAATTGGGACATTATGACCTGATTGAAAACTTTTAAAAAATTGGCTAGATTCATTGAAATGATTAGTTTTTTGTTGTAATTATGCCACCATTATTTATATATACTGAGAGAGAGAGAGAGAGTCCCGTTCACCTCAAGCACGCCTAACCGGGAGTGCCAAACAGCCAAGCCCGTTTGAGGTGATTCTGGGATTTTTTAGTGGAATTATTTAATGAAATTTTGTGAGCATGTTCTTCATGAAGTGTAGATTATGTCCACAAATTTCATCAAAAATTTCAATCGAGAAGTCAGTTAAATAAATTATTGAAAAATTCAAGCACAATATTTTTCAAGAATTTATTTAACTGACTTTCCGATTGAATTTTTTGATGAAATTTTGTGGACATAATCTATACTTCATAAAGAACATGCTCACGAAATTTCATAAAACAAATTCCTCCCAGAAGTACCTCAAACGGGCTTGGCCGTATGGCACTCCCGGTCAAGTGTGCCTAAGGTGAACGGGACTCTATATGTATTGTCTGTTTTTCTTAAACCAATGATTATGAGGTTTGTCAAATGTGGGTATAATTTTTGTATGGAATTTTATCAATTCAGGACCCGAAAGATAGATTAATTATCAATTCGGGACCTGAAAGATAAAATGCATCGATATAGGACCCGAATGATGAAAAACTAGCAATTTAGGACCTGAATGATTGAAAACTATTAATCTAGGACCTAAGTTGTCATAATTTTTTTTATTAAAAATTTTTAAATATTATTTCGTTTTATTAAACTAATAAACTTTTGTGAAGAAAAGTTTATAAAAAATTAGTAATGGAATTAATAAAAAATTAAATAAATCAAAACCTATGAAACGTTAGGTCCTAAATTGATAGTTTTCCATCATTCGGGTCCTATACTGATACGTTTCATCTTTCGGGTCCTGAATTGATAATTAATTTATCTTTCGGGTCCTGAATTGATAAAATTCCTTTTTGTATTGAACTCCATTAAATGAATTAAAATCATTTCCCAACTCCCTATTACTTCCACCCTTCCCTTTTCCTCTTTTGATCCAAACAAGAGTAAATATATACAATATTAGAATATCAATGGACATTGTTTAAGGCTCAGTTGGTGTAGTCTTAGTGTGATTGATTACTTTGTTTGATTAACCAGGGTGTACCTAGGACTCTTACTTTTGACAAGAAAACAGGGAATCATCTGCTTCAGTGGCCAATTAAAGAAGTTGAGAGCTTGAGATTAGGTGTTCCTATAGTCACTGACGTGGAGCTTCAACCAGGCTCACTTGTGCCGATCAATGTTTCAACTGCTACACAGGTATCCTTTTTATTTCCCTATGAGAATTAAACATTTATAATTAATTTAAATGTTGTCGTTTGATGGGATATTCTAAACACTGTAGTTAGACATTATTGTGTCATTTCAAGTGGATAAGGGCACACTTGAAGCTGCAACAGTGGAAGCCAACTATAAGTACAGCTGCAATCACAGTGGTGGTGCTGTTAACAGAGGAACTTTGGGGCCATTTGGTATAATAGTTGTGGCTGATGAAACACTTAGTGAGCTAACACCTGTTTACTTCTTCATTAACAAAGGTGTTGATGGGAATGCTGAGACTCATTTCTGCACCGACTTGACAAGGTCTGTTTCTTCACCTGAGCTAGCTATTGATCAGAAAAAAAGAATGATTTTATTTGGATAATATAAGAGTAAATTGTGAGCATGGATAGCTAGTGTGATATTATGAGGCTTCATGATTTAGTGTTAATAGTTGTCACTGTTCAAGTGTTTGACAACATAAAATAATAAACTAACATACTCCTTCCTTCCCACCAGACTTTGCCAACTTTCCTTATTCTGTCTCGTTTTTAAAATCCTACAGCAAATAAAGCCTTTGTGAGTATAAACCAATAACAACAAAAAACTACTTGCAATCATGTAGACATAAGAATTATTCACAACTGTGTTGGGAATCTGATAGGAATTATTAATAAGTGGGCCTATTATAGATATTAATAAGTGGGCCTGTGATTTTAATAGAAGGAAGAGGGTTATGGGCTATAAATAGTTGGGAAAATTAACTAATGAGGCAGGCTGTGATTGAATTGGCATTTTGGCTTAGGAGAGTAGGCTTCTCGAACAGTCCTAGCTTTTGTATACGTATTGCGTTTAGCTCGATATCAATAAACACCTTCGATCATTACTCCATATTTCTCATCGATCTATATTGTTTGCTGTTATATTACCTGTGATCTATCATTGGTATCAGAGCAGTGGGGCGGTGATCGTTGGCAGTAGCGACATCACCGTATTTGCCCAATTTCATCGTTCGGATAGTGAATGGTTCGAACAAGAGGAAAAATGGAGCAACGACTGGAAGCAGTTGAACGCAGTCGAACTATCATGGAGGAAGCACTGTTGCGGATGGAAACGATGATGCAGAACATGTCAGGAAGGATCGACACGATGAGCGAGGACCACCATCACCGAGGGAGATCGCGATCTCACCATAGTCATCACTCGCGTCCATCGCCCAGTCCAGCGGTCTCAAGAGGTAACTCGGCTCATTCGAACCCTGCTATTCACAGACGACATGATGAGTATAATAGATTCCCAGTTCATACGGGTCGTAAGGTGGATTTACCATTGTTCAATGGTGATGGGGCTTATAATTGGCTAGTAAGGATGGAGAGGTACTTTAGACTGAATTATATTGCTGAGGAGGATAAGTTGGAAGTCTCGGTAGTGGCTATGGAAGACAGGGCTCTGAACTGGTTCCAGTGGTGGGAACTTCAGACCGAAGAGAAGAACTGGGAATCACTGAAGGAATCTATTATTCGTAGATTCCAACCTGACCTGTTACAGAATCCATACGGACCGATGTTGAGTTTGAAGCAGACTGGAACAGTTGAAGCATACAGGGATGAATTTGAGATGATCATTGCTCCACAGAAGAATGTTGACCGAGAAATACTAAGGGGGGTATTTCTCGCTGGATTAAAGCCAGAAGTCAAAGCCGAATTGAAACTGCATCAATCCAGGTCACTAGCTGAAGTAATGGATATGGCTTTACTGGTTGAGAAGAGGAATGAAGCAGTATCTGTTAAGAGACAGGAGGATGAGAGATTGGGTGGAAGGGATAAAGAGTCAGTTTATGCTAAACCTCCCAGGTGGGGAGAAGGTTTCAGAACAAGAGCTGGTAGTTCAGGGGTTCAAAATCAGAACAAAACTAACCAGACTTGGTTTAACTCAGCAGGGAATAAGGAGACTGAAATTCATTCTTCAGGGATAAAAAGGGTTGGACCTCAGCTATCACAGGATGAATACCAAGAGAGAAGTAGGAAGGGGCTTTGCTTTAAGTGTGGAGAGAAGTGGAATAAAGAGCATACCTGCAAACTGAAGCATTATAAAATGATGCTTGTAGAAGATTCAGATGCTGAGGAGGAATCTGAAAGGATAGATCCTGAAATGACAGAAGAAGAAATTGTAATGGAGTCCAAATCCATGCAATTGTCACCCATGAGTAAGGAGGGGATACCTACCATGAGAGCCTTCACAATTAAAGGAATTATGAAGTGGGATAGAGGGGTAAAACCAGTGGAAGTGCTGATTGATAGTGGGGCCACTCACAACTTCATTTCTAAGAAACTGGTGGATGAATTGGAGCTGCCTTTTAAAACCATTTCAGGATACAAAGTGCAGGTTGGTAATGGAGAAAAGCTATCTAATGATGGAAGATGTGAAGATTTGACTTTATGTATGCAGGGTTCAATCATAAAACAAAACTTTTACTTTCTGACTTTGGAAGAAACTGACTTGGTTCTGGGAATGGAGTGGCTGACCACTTTGGGTGATGTGGAAATAAACTTTTGGAAACAAAGTATAAAATGGAAGATCCAGGGGTTAGATCAGCAGATTCAAGGGGACCCACACTTGGGCTCCATGGAGATATCACTGAAAAACATGACTCCGGTGGTGCAGGTGGTGCAGGACACTGGTGATGGTTATTGTATGTTTTATGAAGGGCAATCTGTGCAGGTAAAGAGTGTTGCTTGTCCTGGAAGTCAGGATAAAGTTCTGGAGGTGGACAACATTGTAATAATTCTGGGGGCTTTGGCAAAATCAGGGGTGCAAGATGATCCAAAATATATTGCAATTGAAGAATCCAGGTTCACGCAATCTGATGCCAGGTTGGGGGTGATAGTAAAGGAAAGTGCAGGAAGGATGGGGAAGAAAATCTTGAGAACTGGGTTCGGAACTTACCAACTGTGGAAGTTTTACATTGAAGGTAGGAATTCTGGTTCCATACCAAAGATAACAGCTGCTGAAATATCAGGTTCTGGATTGAGCTGGGCAAATGAGTTTGATTTTGTATATCAGTTGGGTGGACTCGATATAGAACTGGATTCTACGTTTCAGACGGTTGTGATTGATATCTCACAGATAGGGCACCTCGTGGATCTACCTTTAAAACAAGGAAGTGAGAAGGGAATCACAGCTGCTAGAAATTGGTGGGGTGAACTGAACATTCATAGTGAAATTATGCAGCAAATAACCGGGAACCATAGCTCTCTTCATTGGCAATCTAAACAGGAGGTTGGGAAGGACCCAACAGTGTCAGTACACCTGCTCATTCTGGCGGTGGTAGAGGTCAAGAGGATAAGGTGGTTGTTTAGGGGGGAGTAATGATAGGAATTATTAATAAGTGGGCCTATTATAGATATTAATAAGTGGGCCTGTGATTTTAATAGAAGGAAGAGGGTTATGGGCTATAAATAGTTGGGAAAATTAACTAATGAGGCAGGCTGTGATTGAATTGGCATTTTGGCTTAGGAGAGTAGGCTTCTCGAACAGTCCTAGCTTTTGTATACGTATTGCGTTTAGCTCGATATCAATAAACACCTTCGATCATTACTCCATATTTCTCATCGATCTATATTGTTTGCTGTTATATTACCTGTGATCTATCAGAATCCTTCAAATTTCTTTAAAACACTTCCAATTCATCTTAACCTCTGAATTGTTCTACCACCATTCATTAATGTCACTTCACTTTCAATCTTTTCTATCAACAAAAGTCTATGTTGGTCAAAGTTAATCCTGGTCCAACAACCACGGTTATTTTGTACGTTTATTGTATGGTAAGACCAATCCTTGTCAGCATGTGAGTCATTTCCCGGGTAGCACAAGTTGTGTCATGTGTCTCTTTAGAAGATTCAAGGGGCTCATTTGAGCTACGAGCTGGATATTTCTGCATTGATCTTCCACCCAAATCTGGTCCTTGCTAATTCATTGCCAACTAGCATTCTGGGCTCATTTAAATTGCTCTTTGAGAAGTAAAAAACCACACTATTCTTGACCACACAGACTAACAATGTCTTTTCTATTTTCAACTACAACATAATGCACACATTTTAAATCAACATTCGACTAGGAGTCATTAACAAGAAGTGTTGCCTAAATATCTTAGAGAAAGAGAGGTCTAAATTACACCTAACAATCGCAATTGCATTAGTGGCATAACTCCTTAGCTACCTTGCCAGTATTCTTCCCTGATGACGCCTATCTTACACAATTACCCTCATCTCTCCCCCCCCCCATGAAATCTGAGCTGGAGTCTTTATTATTACATCAATGAAAAAATATGAATCAATGAAAATATTTAATTTTTATAATTTTGATTATATTTCTTATTCATATGAATTTTGAGGTTTTAGTTTATAATTTTTGATTACTCCAGCGGTAGGTAATTAATATTTTGTTTTAGGCATTATGATAAAAAAATATGCTCTTACATTTTTAATTTTGCATTCTTTCTTCACTTCTGGTACCTTGCATTTTCTAATGATGTAGTTTAACCCATGTCTAGTGTACTCTTATTGTGTTATACGTAGTATGTTTTATATTATCCCCATCCATGCTGCTATGTAATTATTTAATATATATTCTAATAGATTGGCTCAATTTGAAATGAACTGTGGTGGTTGTGATCGCTGCAGATCATCATGGGCTTCTGGAGTTGAGAAAGAAGTTTATGGCAGTACTGTACCTACTGTTGAAGATGAGAAATATTCAGCAAGAATATTGGTATGTTTTTGAACTACATTATTTTATGCTAAATTATCATGCTATTTCCAAATTCCTATTTTGAGGAATGATTAGGATTTCCTATTTTTATACTAAAGCTTTTCCCCACCAAATCTTGTATTCTGAAGCTTTCTCGTTTTAAGACAATGGATTCAAACATTGCAGATACAAACCCAAGTGTATTTTCTTTTAATTGTATCATATTAGAGTGGAGTTCTGTTTTATATAACAACCATTTCAACCTGTGCTCCCAAACAATAGGTTGACCACTCGATTGTAGAGAGCTTTGCTCAAGGAGGAAGGACAGTTATAACGTCAAGAGTGTATCCAACTAAAGCAATTTATGAGACAGCGAAGGTGTTCTTGTTCAACAATGCCACCGGGGCAAGTGTTCAAGCAAATGTGAAAATATGGCAAATGAGATCAGCTTACATTAAGCCATTCCCCGTTTGAATCTAGTATGTATGTTCCACGGGCGTTGCACGTAATGCGGCATTATTCATGCATGTATAGTTTTCTTGTAATATAAGGCAACAGTTCTGTGTTATTGACCCGTTAAGAAGCCTTTTTATTCCACTTTTTTGAGTAGTTTGATTTCGAAATCTATGCTGGCATCATTTTTTGTCGAAATCTTTGAAAGTCTTCCAAAAATCTTTTGATGCCTAAGAATTGGAGCCGCGAGATTAGTATTCACAGCCCTTTATTCACATTAATTGATAAAATATACGGAGTATATTGAATGCATATTATGTCCCTACAATATGCTGTTAAGATCAAGTCATCAATACTACAACTACTTGGCTGTTATTTTAAACTTCCAGTTAGTTAGTTTAGTAGTATTGTGCTTCGTAACAAACTTAGGATGCCAAGTCAGCAACTTGAACAGGCTGATGCAGATGTTGGGCAGCCCGTGGGCATTCTCGAGGGCCACTCCTATTTGAATACGGCCGCCCTACTGCTGAAGACAAAGGCTGAAGAAGCTGACTACCACGCAACACAGTTTTATACTGGACTACTGGACCCCTGGCTCACGTGGTAGAACCGGGGCCAGATGATGTGTTGTCTCGTCCTCCCGAAGGCTGCTTCTCGGTGCACATTCTTTCAGTGGTGTTGGGCTTTCGGTTCCCCCTATATCCGTTTGTGTTGGAGTATTTAAGGTTTGTAAAGTTGCCCCCCTGCTAGTTGACTCCCAACAGTCACTCGTACATTGTCGGGTTCCTTTCCTTGTGCCGGACCAGGGGTGTCGCACCCACCTTGGATATGTTCTTTCTTTGTTTTAATCTGTGTCGGGGGAGGCATGCCAATAGCGAAGGCTTCACCAACCTCCAACAAGTCCTAGAATGGAGGCTCTTCTAAGTCCCCCTGTCCCATATAGGATGGAAGGACCGCTTCTGCTACATCCATATATGGATGGACTCGGGTCCGGGCCGGGTCGGGCCTAGGCCCGGGCGGGCCGGCGGGTCAGAAATGGTGGACCCGGGACCGGCCCGGGTAACCACCGGGTCCGGTCCGGGTCGGGCGGGCCCATTATATTTTTTTTTTGTTTTCCTCTTCCTAATTAACCCCCCTCCCACCCCCAACCCCCCAAACCACCCCAAATGGCCCAAAATACCCAGCTCAACCCGAAAATTTAAAAAAAATTGAAAAAAAAAATAGTTTTTGGCCCGAACCGGGCTCGGGCCCGGCCGGGTCGGGCCTAGTTTTGGGTGACCCGAGCCCGGACCGGAAAACCCACGGGTCGGGCCGGGCCGGAACAGTACCGGTCCCGGGCCGGTTCCGGGTCGGGCCACCCGGCCCGAGTCCATCCATACATCCATATGGTGGAGAACCCTTTCCCCGAACCACTCTGGGACCATTTTCGGCGGCATCCGAAAGTTGGTAGTGCGGCTCTCGAGAAGGATGCGAAGAAGCTTTTGGTGATACCGGTAGGATCCAACAAATTGGCAATGATTAAGGACGCCACTCTTCTGGATGATCCGTATAACTTGGGCTTCCGGCGTTATCGTCTATTTGGGGAGAATGATGAGAGATACCCCTTGATTGATCATGTATATGAGAGTGCCCCGGTTCCGGGGGGAGCAGGCGGAGGTGCTTTTCCTAAAGCCTTGTTTTTTTTTTGTACTTAGAGATTTTTGTCGTTTCTTGTTTTTGTCATTTCTGTGATCCCCTCATTCTTACCAGTGTTTCATTTTGCAGGTAGCAATATGGATGTCAATACCTTCACTGCGATGAGGAAGAAGTTGTGCAAGGCCCAGAGCAAGAAGGAGGCGGGCAGACAAAAGCCCGTTTATGCTTTCTTCAAGAAGGGGGGCGAAGAGCCCTCGAAGGTTGCTGGGGCCAGACAGGAGGTCGAGAACTCTCATACCGCTGCGGCCAAGAAGAAGAAGAAAAGGGTAGGAAAGGGCACCGAGCCCTCGGAGAAGAAGCAAAAGGTGGGTGACCCCGACAAGAAACCTGCCTCCGATTCAGTGGTGTCATCATAGAAGGCCACTCTGCATCTGACCCCCCACGGGTGGTCACGACGCCTCCACGGTCGCCTCCAGAATATTTTGATGAGGCGTTTTTTGGCCGAGAGACTCTGGAGGTCTCGATAAAGAAGGGCCTCTCCATTATGGCCGGTACCCTTAACCCCCTGAAGTACATGAGGGGGATGACGCCCTCGGGGGACTAGTCTCTGCTATCCTTGTTCGAGGATGATGTGTTGGAGGATAAGATCCTTCAAGCTAGTGCCTCGGTAAGTAACTTTTGCTCGTAGCTTCGTTTACTCTCCGTTGTCTTTGGTTTTAGATACCTGACCCGTTGTTTTATTTCTTGCAGAATTATATGGGCCTCTGTGAGCATCTCTGGAGGGTCCGACAGATGAGAAAGGGCACGACAGCTGCTGGCGAGGCCCTAAAGCTTGCTGATGAGGAGAATCAGGGCCTCTGAAAAAAACTGGCAGATGTTGAGGAGACCCTCCGACTGGACATGGAGAGCAGTGGTTGGAGGCTGCTGAGGCCAACGACAAAGCCTAAGCTAAGAAGGTCGCCGAGGAGGCTGCCCAAGCCGCCGCTGAAGCCGCCGAGAAGGCCAAGAGGGAGGCGGTGACCGAGGCAGGGCATGCTGCTGTGGATGCTTTCATGGTCGAGGGCTGGAAAGCTGAGGACGAGAAGGAGTGACTTTCTTCGTTGGTAGAGCAGAGCGTAAATGCCTTGGTTGAAGGCCCTGACAAAATGTGGCTGGCCGTGAAGGGCAACTCCTTCTACCAGGGAGTGAGTTCTTCACCCAGAGCCTGATTTACTGGAAGCTGGCCCGACACTTCAACGTCCCTCCGGAGAACTTCAAACCAGAAGCGTATGGCCTTCCTCCTCGCCAGCCAGATATCAGGATCCCCCTCCCCCGGGTGAAGAGAGGCCTGTAGTTGAAGATTCAGAGCTGATGTGGGAGTGCAGGATGAATGATGAAGATGAGGCCGACGATGATGCCACCTCGAAAGCTGCTGAAGAGGGCGTTGCTAATGTATGTACTTAGAATGATTTTGTAATACTTTTTTGTAATACTATGCAGGCCTCCGACTTCATCAAACATGTACTTTAAACAATTCTGATCCTTATCTTTATGTTAATGAATGACTCTTTTTGCCTTCGTGTGTTGAGTGCCTTTGATTTCGCTTTTTGTCTGTGCGCATGTACTCTATTCTTCCATACCTCGTGACCGGGGGCCACCTTGTCGTGGACTTAAAAAATTTTAGAAAACAAATTTTCCTGTCATACCTTCGTGTTGTAACTTCGATCGGGAGCATTACTTTTGCAATTCTTTCCCGGGGGAGCATGTGTTGTGGACTTAGGAAAATTCCAACAAAAATATGTAGTAGAAGCCTTCAGTATTGGTTTATATTCCGGAGACTGTTTAGATGTGGTCTTAGAAAATTCCAAACCGACTTATAGAACAGGAGCCTGCGACATTGGTTCATCTACCGGAGGCTGTTGAGATGTGGACTCTACCAATTTTCGCCCCAACACGTAAAGCAGAAGCCTCCAGTGCTTGTTCATACGTCGAAGGCTGTTGAGATGTGGACTTAGAAAAATTTCAATCCAACATTTAAAGCAGGAGCCTTCAGTTCTTTTTCATACGCCGGAGGCTGTTAAGATGTGGACTTAAAAAAATTTCAATCCAACATATGAAACAGGAGCTTTTGGTACTGGTTTATGTGCCGGAGGCTGTTGATATACATGTGGACTCGGAGAAATTTCCACTTAGAAAAAATCTCCAAGTTTCTCCTCCAATTGTTCCTGGTTGATCTTATATCTTACTTGGGAATGTCCCCGGCGCTCCTGCCGAAGGGTCTTGAATTGTGGACTGTAAAACATTCCTCATTGATTGCCCACTGAGTCTACTCCCCTTTATTCCCTTTTTGGTGGGGGGAGGCTTCAAGAGACTTAATCTCTTGGGAGACTTCGTCTGTTTGGGAGGAAACGGTATGAACCGTTGGCCCCCCCCTCAGTGTTGATCTTCCGGGTTCCGAGGGGTGCGAGAGTCGTTTCCTCGGCCCGAGGCATCGTCTGTTTCTTGCCTCCCCTTGGGGAATGGCGTGGAAAGCGTCTCGTTTTTGAAAGTCGTTCCCTCAGCCCAAGACATCGTCTGTTGCCTGCTTCCCCTTGGGGGATAGCACACGAAGCGTTTCGTTTGTGAAAGTCAAATCTAAAGAGAATAAGGGAGATAGAGCCTCTTGAGAATAAGTATAAAACCTACCAGAAGGCCCAAGCCTCAATGGAAAGGTTTGTACTTGATCAACAAATTGGCGCTGGTTTTGGCCTTGGTTATGGCTCAACAGAATCAGGTGAGCCTTCTGTAATGCCAAGCACCAGTGTTGCTAAGGCAGACAAGGTCATAGTGCCACTGATCTCTAGCCCGATATGCCAAGCTGGTGTATCTGGCACCAAGGTTGTTCATGAGGAAGTCAGGCCAGAAAAGGGGAAGATAAAGGTTCAACAGAAACCCTTTTTGAAAAATAATGAACCTGGCAGAAAACCTAACAATAGAAAGGATTTTCAGAATAACAAAAATAAAAGACCATTTATTGACAGACAACCTCATGATAACCGTGCCAGAAATGACCACCAGAGAGGCAAATATCAAGAGAAGGTTAACTTCAGGCAGAAAAGGTTGGCTTGGCTGGTCAAGCTAAGAAGCCCAAAGCTAACCACTCTTCTGCTCTTGATAGTATATGGGACTTCTACCCAACCAAAAAGGCTATGCAGAAGTATGTAAACCGGAAGCATGATCGTCACAAGCATCTGCCCAAAGTGAATCACACTTCCGTTTACTATGACTACCAGGTGGACAATGGGTACCACCCACCAAGGTTTCACTTGATGAGACCAAAGTGGTACCGGCTGCCAAAACTGCATGACCCCCTAGGACCCAACATTGCTTAGGTACCTAAATCTTCCTTTTAATTGTTGTAGGAACTGTATGCTGGAGCTATCTCTGAACAAGATTGGTACATTGATAGTGGATGCTCCAGGCACATGACAGGTGACAAGAGTTGCCTTACAGAGTTCCAGAAAATCAAAGGGCCCAGAGTTACCTTTGGTGGTAATGACAAAGATGGCCAAACTAAAGGAAGAGGGAAGCTGATCAGAGACCAGATAATCATTGAAGATGTCTCATATGTTAAAGGCCTAAAATTCAACTTGCTTAGTGCTAGCCACTTCTGTGATAAAGGCTACACAGTTGAGTCTCCAAAGAAGGTTGTTCTGTCAA